AATCCCATATACTGGCTCCCAATCCCCCAGGCATACCCCCAGGGCTCAACACGTGACGAGCGAGATTCAATGCAAGAAACTGAAATTTAAAATTTAACTTATAGTCACAACAAAATCGAGGCCAATCTGGGCCCGATAGACATATGAGAGTACCACTGAATGCTGGTCAATAAATCCCTGAGACCACATGGGTCTGATAGACAACCTGAGTCTACCCCTGAGAGTCGAGCCATTATAGGCTGCTCGTATCCAGCTCCAACCTCCAAAATCATAGCATAGTCATTCGTAAGCATATCAAGCCGACTGTCAACTGCAGCTGGTGGCACACGGGCCACGTCCCAGCACAACAACATCATCCATAGATGGCGGCACATGGGTTGCGTCCCAACACATAATCATCATCCACAGCCGGCGGCACACGGGCCATGTCCAAGCACATAATCATCATTTATAGCTGGCGACACACCGACAATGTCCCAGCACATAATCATCATCTATAGCTGGCGGCACACGGGCCATGTCCCAACACATAATCATCATCCGTAGTTGGCGGCACACGGGCCACGTCCCAACACATAATCATCATCCATAGTTGGCAGCACTCGGGCCATGTCCCAGCACATAATCATCATCCATAGTTGGCGACACACGAGCCACGTCCCAGCACATAAGCATTATAATCCCGAGGTTGGTGACACACGGGCCACGTCCCAACCTATGTTGGGGGCACACGGGCCACAACCCAACATGTCCAGGCAAGAGTTGAACGGCTCACAAACCTTGTTCGAGCATCTTACCCGAACTCGGAATCAAGTCTGCATCTTTGAGTATAAATTTTCGGAGTTGGGAGCCGGATACTATACCATGGGATTTTATGCCATCCATCTCTGCCAGCTCATAAGCCTTGTTTTCCACTTCTCTGATGATCCTGAATGGTCCCATCCACCTGGCTTCCAATCTCTTGGTCCACTATGTCTTGGGAGATGTATCATGCAAAAGCACAATATCTTCAATCTGAAGTCGTTCCTTCTTGATGTACCTCTTCTTGTTCCACTGTGTCTGATCAGATGACCTGTTGTCTGATATCCTCTTTGCGGCCTCAATTATGACTTTGTCCACTTCCTTAATCCGTCTGATCCTCAATCTTAGCAACTACTTTTTGGAGTATGACTCTCTTTGTGTCTCATGACTCCAGGTCTCGACCAGGTTCTCAATGGGAGAAGTAGCATACGGGCCATACTAGAGCGTAATAGGTGCATAGCCGGTAGTCCTTTGGACAGTTGCATTGTCAACAAAGACAGCGATTCTCGGAAAAGATGGTCAGTTCCTTGGGTCACCGTGACACCACTTAGATATCGCATCCTTCAATATCATGTGGCCTCTCTCGACCAATGCTGTCACAAATTTGATCCTGACTCCAAGTTTGAACATAAGTTTTCTGACCACCTCCTTCTTGAAGTCTGATCCTTGATCAACCACGAACTCACGTATAAAGGGGTACCTTAGGTAAATTTCCTCGATCCAATCTGCCATTGCCTTTGCAGTTTTCTTACGGATGCCCTTAGCTTCAACATAATCAGACATATTCTCTCTCATGTGTAATATATATCTCAAGGTGAACAATACTACCAGGCTCAACAAGAACAGTGGGGTATAAGGGTTCAATCAACCTCACAGATGACCTTTTTTACAAGCCTTACAAGTTTTACAATATCTCATAACTATATCCCTTAGACCATCCCAGTGATATAGTCGGGACACTTTGTAATGCGTTGCATCAGTACACGTATGACCCCCTGCCAGACCCCCATGCATCGCAACGATCACCTCTAGTTGCCTTTCCTTACCACACACCACTCATCGGCGGTAGTCCATCCACAAAAAGTTAACCCCTACATAACCTAAAGGTCCTTCGTGTCCTCACATGGTAGAACTCGTCTAACTAATTATTGCCCATTACCATACCACTCCTCCTATATTCCCCGTCATATTCTTATTTCTTGAATTTTCCTTCAGTATCCTCACTTCGCTCTTGGTCATCCAACCGACATTCAACCATCCTCGAACTCTCAGCCAGCTCATGGGCTGCGACAGCGGCTTGTTCTACCATCTCATACCATCCTTCCTCCTCATCCTCTTGGGTCACGAGGATATGGAGACAGGGATCTTCCTTTTCTCCCCAACAGTCCTCTCTGCTGGTTGCCATGAATGAGGTCGTATAACAATTGGGGGCAAGAGGTAACCCTCCATCGTCGCCTCCATAAGGAACTTGTTGACAAAGGGCGTCTCCTCTAGGGTTTCCTCATCCACTGACCCCCATTCTACGCGCGGCTCAACCCATCGGCCCGATTCTTGTCAGTAGGTATTTTCTCCAATACGAAATCATATGTCCATATGTGAGCCATCCACCTACTGACCGTAGCATCTGCCTGTTGGTGCCTCTTTATGGCTCCAATTACTGTCGTGGAGTCTGTTCTTAGGATGAACCTTCGTCCCATAACACAGTGTCTGAACACCATGAGACAGTGCAGAATTGTCAGGAGCTCCTTCGAGAACTCGATATAGCCTCTCTCAACCAGATTAAGTAGAGTACTCCTAGTCCAACTCCTCCATCCTTTAGCTTATCTTGAAGTGCTCGTGCTGCCGTCTCTCTTCGATCAGACCAGTGTAGGTTTTTTTTTTTTTTTT